GAGCGATTTCATCATCATTCCTACCAAATTGGCATCCATTTATATGAAACTGACCCATCTTGTGTACCGTTGACTATTTCAACTACATTACGCGCAAGCGTTTTGAGGCGAAGGCTTCGGCTGAGAGCCCTACTTTTATTACATTCTCCAAGTGTCACAATGTCAAAAGTGATTGCTTGTTGTTCTTGGGGTGCCCATTCCCGGTTAGACATATATACCACTGTCAAATTTGATGGCTGCATTGACATTACTGTCAGCAGTCATGGCTACAGCCGATTCATGCCCGGAGTGGATTTAATAATCTGTCCGGTGCCTAGCTAATTCCTGACAGTTTACCGTGATTTGCCAGTTTGTTACTTTAGAGATATCTTCTAACTTTTCATGGTGAGTTATGCTGCCAAATATATAATAGGAGTCATTGCAAAGGGAAGTTATCTCACTTATATCGCTTCTCGGGGACAGGAAGTTTTTGTCTACTAATATTATCGCCACTGTTACAGTGAACATCACCCACATAATGCGTCCTGCTTTGCGTAGGTTACTTGACTATGCATTTCTTAATTGCATTGTATTGAACTGTTTTGTTGTCACCTTAGTCCGTCGTAGTCTCCGCTATCCCCTTTTTCAACCCGGTCCACGCCTCAGGCCAAGTTTGATCTGCTCAAATAAACTTGCGCGGTACTATGGTTTGCGAACTTAGTATATCTTTTTATGACTGCACTTTCCATAAGATTACGTCTGTTTCATCATACACCATGATTTATTACGGGTAAAAGCCAGTGCATAGAAATTCCTGTAGGTTAGTGTGAACTCAATCTTAGAAGGCACATTTACCATCAGTTAGCTCGCGTCCAAGTGACATGGTGAGGCAATGCTATACTTGGAAATAACCAAGTGAATGTTCTGACGCATAAACGTAGGGAGAAGTCGGGAATGATAGCGCACAAACGCCGTGCGGGGTTGTTTTAGCGAACTTTTGTGCAAACTGAAACTGCCGCTTCCAACGTGTCCGTCCCATGTACAATTCTGCTAATCTTGACTTACTGGGGCTGGGTTGCATACAACGGTGACGTGCAATGTCTAGTCGTGTTTCGAAAACAACCCGAGCAAGAGCAGAGCAAACCGGCTGGTAAACCATTCCAGAGCTCACGGATTCACTTTAAAGGCCTATATTGGTAACCGAATTTAAGGTGGTTTCTATGATGTTGGTATTACGGCTTATCAGCTTTGGGGGCGTATGGGCTTGTGGATGACTCAATATTTGGCACAACAGTATCGCGTACTCGTATAGCTATCTGTAGTTTCCACTGAACACTCCAGTTCTCTGTTGATAACGGGTTACGCAGCTCACTAACATTCTCGACTACTCGATGTTGCGTGGCCACTGTTACCGTAACTTTAGGTTTTGACCAAGGTCGCTGAGCCTGGATAGCATATCCGATGTGTGTGTGCACGTGTCGGAAGATCGGACTGTCGAATCCTCAACGAGTGCCAGCCGGGATAAGGAATAGTGGAAAGGTTGGCGGTTAGATTTTAAGGTTAGACTCTTCCTCCTCCCATTTAAACTCTTTGATCCAAGGACTTATGTGAAAGTGATTACAGAGTTATGGTTAGGGTCAGGACTATGTTTTGGGTATGATCCTCTTAGTTTCCATTTCATGTAGTACATTATATCCACCGGTCATGATAATGCAGTAGAAAAATGACCTAACACAACATGATGCGCTAGTGCCTACCAAGAAAAATAACCAGTGTGAAGTATCTGTGTGGCGTACACTGATTGACCCGAAACACAGCAGCTAATTTTCACATTTCCATCATCCACGAGCTTGACTCTTCACTGGGGCGGAAGATGGAACAAAACACCCTGGCACCATTCGTGACCTTTTTCACAGGTTATGCTTAGGCTGCTGACTTTTGTTCCACCGGTGCAACCGCATTAGCCGTATCTTATTCATCGACTGGTTTTTGTTAAATTAATGTACAAGTAGAAACTCATCGCATCTAGTGTCAGTTAAACAGCCAACACACGCTCAGGGAAGCACTATACGGCCGTTTCATCATTTCGGGAACCGTCAGCAGTGCGCATTCCATCGGCCCTCTTTAGAACTCGAACTCTGATTGAATCCACTAAACTACGGGAGATGGTATGACCATCGTGACTAAGTTATTAGATGTGCTATAGTGCCGCTCACTATTCACTGACTTACGTTACTACCGTGCAGACGACTGGCTAGCCCCCACACCAAGCGACGAACTTACCAACTTTAAGCCGCTAATTAACTTACGGCATTATAAGCATTTTGGTTTGCATATTGATTACAGAAGAGCAGCAGGGGGGTTTGAATGGTATAAGTACAACTTTATCCTATGTGGACTCAGTCAGACAGCCACCACAGCCACACTCGTATGTGATGAATTTCTATATTACCATTCAAACCCTCATACTACTTTTTGTAAATTGGTGTATATAACATCAATCAGCCGCATAAGTGTCCCTCATTTTTGGGCCTTCCTTCATCTCCATGTACCACAGGATACACGTGCCCTCATAGGTGTCTCAGAGGTCTTGTCTTCTCTCCTTCCGTGGTTGGGGCTGTAGAGTGATGCCGGATTTGTGTTGCATTTGTGATTCTGTGCCTTGATTTCGTTATGAGTATTTAGTTTCCGTGCGTGTTCGTTCCGAATTGCGTTAATGGCCATAGGATCGCAACAGTCATAGTCATTGTACGCCCAATCCATCGGGGTCACACGAAGCTTTGTTCAGATTTGGTTAGTTACCACGTGATTGGCTCCGGTGTCCACCACTCGGTGTTTGATGACAAAGCTTCTCGCCTCGTGGCAAACAGTTCGCTATATGTACTCTACCCGCGCTATTCAGGCCACATTCCTCATATGTCCGTTTAGTGTCCAACTCCCATATGTTTGTTTATATTAAGTCCGATTTCGACCGCATTGAACGGTAGCTCTATATGCTGGGATGACAAGGTAGTCGGGAAAAGTTGCCTAAAAACTACCGTGTTACGAATTAGACACTCCACTACATCGACAATCGAATGCTCTATACGACATTTTGAATGTACTATCATTTCCAACCACCAGTCCTTCGACTGCCATCTTGATCCCCGCACTCCTCTCACGAGAACATCTTGCTTCTCTTTTCCTTTTATTTCATTGCTGGTATTTTCTTATCGGCACCACTGCATTTTGTTGGCTGGATCGCGTAACAACCTAATCCGAACCAACAACCGTGTCAATGTTATCAGCTGCTTGTTGATTTGGATTACGTCTTCTTGGTAATGAGAGTGACCTGAAGTATGAAATTGCTGTCTTTCAGACAACCTGGTCATTTTGCGACTGCCATCCTCTTGCTGCCATGCATTACGGCGATGATAGGCTTGAGTGTCAACGGTCGTCCAACATTTTAATCCTCCACACATGAGTTTCGACTTAGCTCATTCGAATTTTCATTACTGTGCAACACTAGATTCTGTATAGTTATCATAGCTTGTGTTATCAGTGGCGCTCACGTTCAGTGTCACTATTCAATTTTGTCTCGCCACGGATTTGCGTCTGTACAACTTAACTTTGCTGATTAAACTGTATTTGCATGTTCCCCTTGGCTTGTTTGCATATCTTATACATGTGTACCACGACATACGTAAATTTTTCATTGCCAATGCGTGTGCTATGATTATTTTCACAACACAAAAAGTCTTTCTCATTAGCACGCAATCCAGAGACGTGCTATTGAACAGTTCTGGGATGGTTTCCAATTGATTCACGCTTTGCCTCTTCATTATTTTGTGGTATAACTCTCCTTTGTACTCTTTGGGCTGTCTCGCCTTTTGGTTCGTTGCATTCTATACCTTTCATTTGCATTGTTTTCCGGGTATTTCCTATCGTCCAGAACTATCAACCGCATTACCGTTGTTTTGTTATGCGATCTGTTTGCCTGTTCTGCGCATCATTATAAGCGTTTAACTGGTTTTCTTCACTTATCTGGGCTCCAGCTAACCAACAGTGCTTCAGATGTAGTAGCAACTTCCAAGGTCATCGTTTTTCTTCCATGACTACTTTCATCTTTGTTTAGTCTGTGGTATCACTTCGCTGCTTTAATACACGGTCCTGCCACTTGATATGATGACGTCTCTTTGCTTATCTAAAACCTTTCATTTCTTCTGTTCAGTATACTTTCTAGATCTTTCTCCGTTTGTCCTCTTGTACTTGAATTGCTAGAATAGCTGTTTTCATTTTGCCTTTTCTGCTCCTGACCTTCGGTTCTGGTCCACCCAACTCACCGGTACTACCGTTTCGTTAAGTACAGTGCAACCAAACAATGACTTCCCATTGTTGCTCACACCACACATATACGCACTTTGTGTCCATCAATTCCATTGCTTCCAATCTGGACTCCTTTCTTTCACTGCGGGCCAAGTTGAACTGACTTGTCTTACCTGTTTCCCATTCACTCGTATACCACGCCGTAATTTAACGGGAATTATCATGCACCTTAGCGCGTGTTTTTCTTTATTGATCGACCTTTCTAAGTACTTTTTCTGTTTCTAACATGTTTTGCGCTTCTGTCAACTTGGATTCATGGTTTATCAAACTGGAATCAAGTAGCTTTTATTATTCACAGTCGGTTGTCAGTCCAGCGAATGCCGTCTCTTCCAATACCGCAGTATTTACTTTGGTCATCGACACACCATACTACGTCTTTGTCTTCCCACTGCAACTTCATTCGAAGGCTACTTTGTTTACCACCACATGTTGCAGAACCTGTGACTTGACCGTTTGCCCCTCTTGCTTTCGCCATTAATCACGCTGTCAGGCCAATGGCCCAGTGGTAGTCGGTTCGATCCCACAACCTGGCAACATCCCTAGCCCATTGTCAGCATTGCGTCAGTACAAAGTTATGACATACCGATGACGCCCTTTTTGGCTTGAACTCCCCTCCACTCTTACCTCGTTTGTGTATCTTTTCTCATTGAACGCAGATGCTACTTAACCGACCGAAACGACGTTCCTCATGCTCTGTCGTCTGACCCTGGCAACTGGATGCTTCGACTATGTGCCTCCAATCTTGCGGTCTTATGTACTGGCAACGCATCTTCACCCAATTTGCGCCAAATCCTCGGCTGCGGCTCTACGCCCATTCCCATCCTCTACCCTGTCCATTGCACCCAGCTTTGGATCCACCGCTCAGCTTTCAATCAATCCCCGATCTCTACTGTTTCTATTTTCTCTTCCTCATTTGGTCATTTGCCATCATGCTTCTCCGCAGCCTGTGTGCCATTTTATCCTGTTTCGAAACGCTGTTTATCTGATCCAGCCATTAGGTCTCGCTTCGCTCCTGTCTTCCGTTGCCACTCAGCTTTATCTCCATGACTGTGTCGGCGACATACGGAACTTGCCTCTTCGCAATTCTTACCGCATTTCACGGCGGCCACTTTTTGCTGCTTCTGTGCCTTACTCTAGACCTCTTTTTCGGTCTGATATTGTGCTCAATTTCATAGGGTACGTTCTTGGAATAATCGCTTGCGCTTTTTAACTATCACTATCGCATTTAAGCGTTCTTTTTTACTTGGTGCAATACGCCTACATGGATGTCTCTGTTTTGCATCGTTCCTTCTTACTAGATTGGAACGCCACTTCGTCATACACATGTTCTCTCTCCATCTCTTATGGTTGTCTCCTGGGTGAACTTTGCTTCGGGCAGCCAGGTGATCATTTATAATAGTCATCTTCACTTCCGTAACAATATCTCGTATTTGGAAACCATCTGACCCTTCGTAAGTGGGTAACTCAGTCCATATGGTAGATCATCATCAACAACAGCTGTACATCAGCCATTTGAACTGATTCTTCACTGCCATACAAACATGATTACCTATGAACTAAAGAACAATAAGACGGATAGAAGAGGGGCTTAACGGAAGATCTTAATGCCGTAAGCAAACATTCAGGGTCAAGGCGTCTACACCTTGTGTTAACAACATACCGTCACAAACAGCCGGATATCGTGCAAAGATAAGGTGGCATCAGCGAGACAGCTTCCTCACGGCTTTCACTGCCACTCGTCATAATCAGCCATTACCCCGCAGGTAACTCAGCGCCAAACACGTTTTAAACAGGCAATCCGATCAGGAGACGGCAGCAGACGCGCCACTGGTGTCGGTTGCGAGCCATGTCCTGTAAAGTATCGAGGCTAGTCACGTGGACTCCAGTTCGGAAGGCGAGACGGACCAACGGCACACAGTTTGGTCGTCAGTAACTTCATTTCCCACTGCCAAGTCAACTTCTGTTCACCTCGAGCTTTGCGTCATCCTATACCTGGCAGATTAAATAAGGCCCTCCTAGGTAAGCGGTGACCAGGCATACCGGAGCACGTGCCCGACCCAACGTATCTTATTCAGTGCTATCTGTTGTTCTAAGGCGCTAGCATGATTATCACTACCTAGTACTCACCTACGCACATCACCGTTGCAGACACGCTGGTGCCATCCGACACCGGCAATGCTTCGTGGACAACGATGATCAAAGACTTGAAGGCGCCTCAGATCTTCAGACCGGAGGGGCCAAGTCTCACTACCACAGAGCGGAACGGCCCTCACTGCAGCCTTGTATACACGGCCTTTCAGACGGAGGGAAACTCCCTTCTGTCGCGAAGGATGCCGCAGGTTCAAGAAGGCAGCTCTGACTTTTGCAGTGCGTGGTCTGACGTTAGTTTCTATGCGCCCATCGTTTCTGCTACAGCTGCCAAGATTAGTGGATTGATCAGTCACCTCGAGTTCCTCGTTAGCAAGGGTCAAGGGGTCATCAAATGGCTGGTGGTCCTGCAGCAACACTTTGAAGGTACGAAGCGCATTTTGAATAATGGGACCACTCCAGACAGGCTAATCAGGGTTGATTGTGCCGTCGCAACCTCGTCGAAAAGCAAGACTATATCGTCCGCATAATCAAGATCAAGTAATCTTTCCTCAGGAAGCAATTCAGCGCTTGCGTCGTGAGCTTCCGCAAGGGAACACTCCATGATAGAATCCACGATCAAATTGAACAGAAATGGGGAAATCACGCAACCCTGATGAACGCCACTTGTGATCGGAAAGCTTTCCGATAGGCCACCCAAGACCCTGACGTGGCCTGTAATGTTCGAGTATAGAGCACGTAGGATGTTCACATATTTCGTGGGAACGCCTTTCCGCGCAAGTATTTCGAACTGAATCGAACGCACTCTTGAAATCTAGGAACACAGCTATTGTCGGTCTGCGGTATGCGTGGCGCTGCTCTAGCACATGCCGCGAAGTGAATGTATGGTCTATACAGCCACGTCCTGGGCGGAAACTTGCCTGCTGTTCCCTTACCCGAGAATCCCGTTCCACAGTGAGGCGTCGAACGAGAATGGAGGCCAGTAATTTTGTCACAACTGGCGTTAGGCTAATATCCGTGTGGTTCGCACAGTCTGTGCGACTGCCCTTCTCGTATATTGCCACTATAATCGTTTCGCTCCAATCTGCCGGGACACCCTTCCAGATACGTTGGAATAGTGAGGTCAGTGCTTTGCTGAGCACCTCTCTTCCATCCTTAAATAGTGCAGGTGAGAGGGAATCCGGGCCAGCTTCACGAAATCGATTGAGGGCTGTGATCGCGTTTCGGACCTCGGCCTCCGACGGAGGCTCTAAACTAACCGTCCATGGCTTGTCCTGCATCACCTGAGTAGGAAGAGGTCCGGGAGCAGGGGGCCAGCTGAACTGATCTTGAAAGTGTTCCGTCCGACGAGCCATACAGTGCTCTTTATTGTCTATCATTGCACCTGCGTTGTCTCTGATTGTCTCCTGGTTTCCTGGGACCAGTGGTACGAATCAGCTGAAAGAGTTTGCGGTAATTGCCTACTGCTCCTGCTTCCTCCATTTCTTGAGCCCTACTGGTCTACCAGGCTTCCTTATCATCGCGTAAGCTCCGCTTTAGTTCGCCCCTAGTAGCCCGTCTTGTCACGTGCTCAGAGCCAGCCAGGAGGTTTCTTCTGGATTCCAGCAGGTTCACCGACCTCTTGGATATGCAGTGACTGGTGCAGTGACGATGGATAATGCCACAAGCACATACACCTGCGTATGGTAGACACTATCTCGACTGACGCTGATGTTGCATTCATGATGCTCCTTCACTGCAGTTCGGCTAAACAAACCTACCCTTAGTCCAGGTCTTTTTAAGCTGGATAAATTTCATTATACCTTGTCTGATTTCTTCATCCTACTTGAATACTCTATTATCTTGCACTCGTTGCTTACGCTAATTGTGGGTAGTTTCATTAACTTTTTCGCGTTCGTGGAATTTTTTGGATTGCTTTTGAACATTTTATACTTATCATGGATTCATTGCTAACTAACTTACTTCATATGCTACTTTAGCGCAGATTTATGTCGACACAGCCGTAGGCTTTAATAGATATACTTTATTTGATAATATCACGTTAACAGATTGGCTGTTGTTTGACATCCCGGTGTGGCTGCGCTTGGTGTGTATGTTGACAAGATGACTACCCGTCTAGTACCCACTACCTCGTCCATACTGGCTCCAGGAGACAGCTGGTCGTTGGTGAGGGGACGGGGTGCACGGTCCTTGTGGCCGTGTTAGGCTCGAAGAGTGGGTCCATGCACGCAGTGTGGAACGGACTACGGTGCAGTCACCGTCTTGTGTACGATTGATTCCCAAATACACCGTGCTTGTGTTTGCCTGTGAAGGAGTGTGAGCCGGCTCTGTTGATGAAACGTGACTCCCATCCACATGCCTCCCAGGCTTATTCCTTCGGGTTTACACTGGATATGGGGTGTGTGTTTGGAGCTGTGGGTGGTGCAGCGCAAGCCACCCATGGTCCCTCTGTAGGCGCAGGCGTCCTGTGGCTGGCCACAGTGACAGGCAAATCCGAAACCGGATGCTACCAAACATCTCGGCTGATCGTATTGTAACGAAATGAGCGCTGCTAGATTGTGCATCAAATCCGTAATCTATTTTTTGAGTCTGTCAAACTCTTACCATTCTCGACATGGGTAACTCCATGTCAGCACACACTGCCGTATGTATGAGGCTAGCTGGCCTGTGGTCAGGGAAGCCACTTACCACCTCGATCAAAAAGCGACCACGCTTACCCGGATCAAGTGGATAAAGCGCAATCGGGGTGCAGGTAGTGAGTCATACACATTCTTTGTCCTGGTCAATGTCTGATACGGCTTTGGAGCTAAGTGCCCATCGCATGATGACAGCTGATAGGCCGAGCCTACGGAACGGACAGCAGACGGCTGAATAACCATTTGGCGCAAATACCAAATGGACCGACGGAGATGAGTTTGGGGTGTGAACAAAGTACAGACTAAGCAAGGACTGGTCCAAAGGTCCTAGAACAAAGGATAGACGCTAGCCAATGAACTCATGCAAGTGGCCGGGAAGAAGCGACAGTTTAAACTGAGTCCAAGTGAATAGTAATGTATAATGTCCATGTGCTCTTTAATAACAGATTTATAATCGCCTCCCAGACCCTTCTTCTTGATTCTGGGGGTACTGCACGATGCTGGAAATCCGTATTAACTACTTTCTCTATTGTCATTTCTGCGGTTTTTCTCCATTTGCTTGCCTACATGTGATATTGCGGAGACTCCGCGAGCGTTACCCGCACACAAGCTTCAGTTTTCCATTACTCAAGTCTTTAACATGCCGGCCGTCTCTGCATGACAGAATATTGACTAATCGTCGTCTTCTCGACGTCCCGTAGCCTAAAGGTAACGAGGTTATCTTGTAATCTGACGGCGCGGATTCGAGCCTGCCTAAGTGCAGGTGACCCTCGTAGTATCCTTAGCCCACGTGCAACTGTTGGTGGTTGCGCGGCAGCGCAGCGTCGGTACTGCGTACCGGTGTACCGCTGATGCCTTTAATTTACTCGTCTTCTCTGCTTTGGCGCCTCTGGATGCACGCGAGAAGAGTAAATATATGTAAGCTGCCCATCATTGCTATCTGGACTAATAGTTCATTGGATCTGTGACTTCCTACTGGCATCGTTTACATGTGCAGTTTACATATTCTAGTGTTCTGATGGTCTACAGTCAAGCCACGCTTGCTTGCTTGGATACCAGGTAGGCATTGGTTTGGTAGGAGCACCACGTTCGCAAACTGTGAGTTTGTCCCGGTTGGGCACTTTGTTTATTTACGCAAAGTTTTATCACGGAGACTTCCGCATTTTGTTACCTTCATTTTGGAAGCTTTTGCAACATGATAAATCTTAGG